ACGTAACCTCAGCTGACATCTAGCTTTCTGATATGATACGTAACCTCAGCTGACATCTAGCTTTCTGATATGATACGTAACCTCAGCTGACATCTAGCTTTGTGATATGATACGTAACCTTAGCTTACATCTAGCTTTCTGATATGATACGTAACCTCAGCTGACATCTAGCTTTCTGATATGATACGTAACCTCAGCTACATCTAGCTTTCTGATATGATACGTAACCTCAACTTACATCTAGCTTTCTGATATGATACGTAACCTTAGCTGACATCTAGCTTTCTAATATGATACGTAACCTCAGCTGACATCTAGCTTTCTGATATGATACATAACCTTAGCTTACATCTAGGTTTCTGATATGATACTAACCTTCTATGTGCAAACTATTTTGCTCACCAGTATCTTTGAGGCTCTCACCTAGTCTCACATGTTTCCATGTGATATTGCTGCATCGTGCATGTAAATGAGCATGGAATAACCCTCCACCAATAGGAGTGCAACATCACATCCTAATGCAGCTGGCTCCCTTCATACTGATTGTTCAATTGTCACTTCTTGACTTTGCAGTCATGTGTTAAGATGTGTCTTGTTTTTGGTTGAAGTATCTATAAAACCACCTGTTGTGAAAATATATTTTGTTTTTATTTACAAATAGTTCTGCTTTTGCACACTATGTGGCTCTTATTTTATCTTACATGAATTACACAAAGACAGTCATTTCCATTCTGTCTAGTGTTGAACATCTGGCCTTTGTTCACTTTAGACAGAGTACCACTGTGGCATAGGGTGGTTTTTTTGTCTGTCAGTGGATGTGATGGCTATTGTGTGGCGATAGTGAAGTCCTTCCTCTTATATCTGAGTCCATGATGAAAATTTTTTGTCTCAACTTCACTCAGGTGCAAGTAGCCTCATCCTTCTTGACATATGACTTGGCTTACAATTGAGCTGAAGCCCCTTTCTTGGACCCTTAAACTCTCAAATCTCTTCTTCAGGCTTGGGGGTTCTGATTCATTGTCCACTGTTAGTCTTTCTCAAGCTCAGTTTCTTGTTTTACTACTATTTTATGTTATCAGTTCTCTGTCCATCTTCTTTTGGAAGCAATACACCAAATGGCTGAGGAGTTTTCAGCAGACATTTGTTCCCTTCCTTTTTCTACGTTGACACTTTTTTCTTCCTTGGTTTTGTACCTTCTCATGTGGGCAGGGTCTGCACAGGTGCTTGAAAGTACTTGAATTGTGTTTAATGTTTTTTTCAAGGCCTTGAAAGTGCTGGAATTTTGTGGAATTTCATTGAAGGTTTTTGAAAGTACTTGATTTTTCTTTTGAGTTGAAATCAGAATGCACATTATGAGCAACAATTTCTTTCCAAATGAGCTGAAATACTGGCTAATCCTAGACAGAATTTCTTTTGTTATTCACTACACATGGTGCAAGTTTATCATATCGGCTAACCAGTGACTACATTATACCAATACACAATCTCATGCACACCATATAGATCTATGTATGTACATCAGATTAAATATTTATTTATGTAGAGAGGCATTGCCTTTGATGGGGAACTTACATGGGGATCATTGAATGCAGCGAGTGCCAAATTGTTAAAAAAATAAAGAAAAATTAATATAATAAGAGCAAGCTATGCCTAATCTGCTAACACCTAATATAGTTTTGATTCAATTATAGTAAGAATATTTAGGAAAAAAGCAATTTATAACAGTTATTTTTTCATAATGTTTAAAAGTGATACGTCTCATTGAAACTTCTTGTTTATAATGTAGCCTTTTGTGAACCCATTAGTCTGTGAGTCTAGATGTGTTTGATAAAAAGGGTGCAACGGTACATAATATCTGAACTTGTGGATTCATGTGATAGATCTCAGGCTCAAAAATAAGAAAAGGAGCATGCATTTGGATTCGTAGCTAGATATGAGTAGATGAATCCAGACTGTACCCACTCATGGACTAGCATGAGTAAAGCACGCATGGGATTTCTGCCCATCTTCCATGCCTAGTTTAAAACGTAGTACTAGTCTACTATTAAACATGATTTTTGTGGTCACCTGTTGTGCTGTCTGACATTGATGCACTCTTCTGCACTCCCCACTGCACTTTCATCTTCCATTTTTTTCTGGTGAAGCATGGTAGTCCTTGCTGCTCACCAGTTCCTAGCTGCTGGGGTGGTGGACCATGGAAGATGCCTCATGTGTGTGACCATTTCCACTCAGTAGAGTGTGAGGCAATGGTGTTTTGTCCATATGGTACAGTTAACCCCTCTTACCAACTTTCCCTTATTCTACCACTATCCATAACTCAGGGTGGACTGATATTGGATTGATGCAGGACCAGCCAAAATAAGTCATCACCTAGGTGCAGAGTGGATGTTACTTTCCCATTCTGCCTCACGGGGCTTGGGGTGAAAATGTTAGGGACCCTCCTCCTACTGCAGCCTGGAAGCTGAATGTCCTATGCTGCTTGGTTTTGGACTGGAGTTGACCCAGTTTGATGTGCCCTAACCACATATAGCACTTTTGAAAGCCTGATACAGCTTTTGGACCGTGCTTGTATCTTCTCCCCATCCTTGCAACTCTTCTCTTCCTTTCCAGTCAAAGATTGTACCCTGGAATAGACGAAATGTGGACTTCCATGGGTGTACCTCTATAACGTTCTCTTCAGGACACTCCCAAAGGGGGGCTCATCAAGTTAAAATTTATACTGCTCCTTCCACCAGTTGAATGTGGGATTCTAGCTAGATGTGAGAAGAAGCTGCTTATCGTATCAGAAGTTAACAACTGAAAAGGTATATCCGATGCATACCTCCAATTACATTTTTCACTCTTTCTCTTCACTTTTAGTGCATGACGTGTTCTTGCTTAATTTCGATATGGTGACTGAATAACCAGTATAGAGAGAGCCAGCTGTGCTAAGAGGTGGTGTTGCACTCTTATTGGGGGAGGACTGTTGCATGCAAATGAGCATGCAACAATACAGCAATATCACTTGGGGATTAGTTTGCTTATAGAAGTCAACACTGAATCAGGAAAGCTAGATGTCAGAAGAGGTGAGTTTTATTGGAAATACATTTTCAATCTTTTGGTCATACTTTCAAAAAAAAGTTTAGATTCTAGTTTGATTATAACCTGAAATTTCAAAAAAGCTTCTATTATCAATATTTTCCAAATCTAATCCACCTGTCCACTTTAGCTAAAGCCCTGAACTCTTCTGTTTTGTTCTTACTATTCCTAATATTATAATAATAGCAATTAAGTTTGATCCTACTATGATTATCTTAAATCCGACAAACATAATATAAACTATTGTTTAAGTAGTTATGCTATGAATCTCCTTTTTACAAACTTCTTCTTGCCCTAGCTTTCCTATCTGTTTGTTTATTCTCAAGTGTCCTCACCTCTATGCAATTTTTAATATTTGGAGATTCCCCAAACAAAAACTTGCTTAAGTGGAGTCTATTCCTAACATATAATTTACCCTTACCTTCAAAATTATCCCACAGTTCTAATCAACCTGTCGGTTGTTCTAAGCACATTACTGATAATATTTCATTAAACTGTTCGATTCTGCTAAGTAATTCATTCCCATATGTAGCCCAAGAAAGCATTCCCAAAAGAGCTCCATGTTTATTTCCATCCTAAACTTCTGAAGTAGTTTTTTGACTTATTATCTGCTTTCCGGTGTCAAACATCATTTGCTCCTACTTGCACTGCAAAAAAAAAAGAAGAAAAATGTTTTTTTGTTTGGTAATAAAAACAAAACTGTAACCTTTTCTATAATATCAACTGGCAAGCAAATTCTAGTCATACTCTTTTTATTCTTCTCATCTCTTTCATCATCTTATGCAGCCAGAGGTGTAAATCTATTTGTGATTGCTTCCTCAATATTAAATGAACTTGTCTCTGTATCCTTAGCTTATTACTGTTGCATACCATTGTAAACCCGGCATTGACATTTCATCTTCCCACTTAAAATTTTTACCTCAATCTATCCAGTTCCTCTTTTGCTCTCTTATTTCTGCTCCAAATCTACGATTTTAATTCTGCAATCCTCCCCGAAGCTACCTCATTCGAGTCATCTTGAAATAAGCAAGCTCTGCTTTTTTGAGTCTCCTGAAAGTCACAACCATGCCCACAGTTTTCAGACATAACCCTCTTCTGTCATCTTTTACACACTATAAGTTCCACCCCACTTAGCCTAGAACTACCTCTAACCAGATTACAGTTTACTAGTTTTTATTATCTGTTTACAGTCTACCTACCAATAATTGTACATTTTACTAAAATTATTATATTTCACAGTTTATAGATAAACCTAACACCAAAATTGACTATTAACTAATATTTACTAGTACAACACATTTTTGGCTACATGTAACTAATTTCAAATTTAGATAATTTACTAATATATTAAGTTTTAGCAGCTACAAAATAATAAAAACAGTAATTTCATCTTTTAAGATAATAAATTCTCTTTCTTAAGTGGCTGTCACTTATGATAATTTAGTCTTTTAATCTAATATGTATTAACTAATAACTGTAGTAATTCAAAACTTATTATTACTGCCTTGAAACAATGGTAAGTTAAACATACAATCTAGTATTAAGCCTCTTATTGTAACTTTAGGCCTAAAAATGTCCAGTCTTAAACAATATAATTGAAATACACTAAAATAACTTCTCAAAAATTAATTAAGAGCTTAACAATACTTATCTTTTCCAGAAAGTTTATAATTAAAAGTATTTTGTTTTCTTTCTCTCAGAGCTCATAAATATAAGTCTTTCTACCTCAACATATACCTCATTATTTACTTTAGAAAGAGCACCCTTACAATGCACTGTTTTACTGCCATTTGTTACTTAATTTGTCTTCATTTTGGGTTTTACCATGTGAAATCAACAGACCTCCTAGCTACACATAGAATATCTTGAGCTCAGTCAAGCGAATGCTATTCTCATGTACCAACAATTCTCTAGACTGTGTAACGGAGATCAATAATGCAAGTTTCATGGGTTTTTTTTTTTTTGCTGATGACACAAGAATGCTAACATTTGTGTTTTCAAGGATTTTGATCTGTCATTATAATATTTATTTTGAACTGGTTCTAATATAATTATTAAAATATCTTGGACAAGAAAATTTTTAAGGTATCATTATTTTCAGATTATCATAAGAAATAATAAAAATTATAGATTTTGTAATGTTCTTACAGTCTACATTTTGAAGTTATTTTTAAAATGTTAAGATGTACATAATAAGTTATTGCTATTCAAGAGTATAAGTATGGTTATTAAAAACTTTGTAGTTGAATAAACACAATGCTATTTACTTTATTCATATTTCCTTAGTGTTAGAAATGTAATTACTAGATTCTGAGTAGTTGAGACAAATATAAAAAGTGATTTTATGAATAATAGCACTATCAAACCTCAAAATATTGAAATATTATCAAACATTATTTAAGTTATAAATAGGTTAAACAAAATTATGTTAGCTAGTCAAACTAAACAGCTCAAAGGCAAACATTAAAACTCAGATTAACTATTTCCTTGTACCTGATGATAACAGAACCATGTCGAAACGTTGTACATTTGCTGTTATGTTAAACTTATATTAAAGTTTTTCTTCATTACCCATTCAAGCCATCTTCAAGCATTATTAGTCTCAAAGTGGGTTCCTCGTCATCTAAAAAGTACTTCTGTGTGTACAGACTTGTAACTGTATTTACCGTAAATGGGTCAACTCTCACACAAAAATAACAAAACATTAAACCTTATAGATATTTTTTCTCCATCAACAGTTTATTAATTTTACAAATTATCAAAATTTAGCTTACCACCTGTGTTGAACAGCAACTTCCCTATATGCAACCTAATTAGCAAAATTTAGAAAAATAATATCACCTCGTTAGATGAAACAACTGTATATTCCAAGTAAGCATAGATATACAAGATATCTTTCATATCCTATTTACCATATTGTATGGTCAATTTAAGGTATTTTCAGTAACTAAGCCAAATAAATTTATTTACAAGACTTATCTATTAATAATAATAGATACAAAGAGCACTTAAACAATGTTATAAACTAAAACAACTGTTGAACCTTTCTTAAACATAAACCCACAATGGAAATAAGCCATGCTCATTATTTCTGGAAAAATATGGAATAAATCTAAATTACTCTTTTTTTTTTTTGCTTTATAGAATGACTGCATATTGTAATAGACAATTGAACACTATTTTATCTTACAACCAAAGTTAATAAAACTTTTCAACTCTGGGTTTATTTTGTTTAATTGCTTTACAACTCACTTATACCCGTTCAGTGTATGTTGAAAGTCATTTATCACAGCTGGACAATTATGTGTAAATGTAATCGATTTGGAAGCACCCCAGGATTGAATTACAATTATACAGTACAATGTGTGTGTACTAGAAAATTGAACATCCTGAGAATTTTTTTATTTAATTTCTTTTCAAATTTTCCTAACCTAACATTATAAGTTTTTAACTTTTGCATTATAGTTACTTTTATATTCAGCCCTTATAACATCAACAACAATGGTCTCTAAGCCTACTTTTTGTAGTGATGTTGATAGTAAAAAGTATTATTAATTTCTATTTCAAAAACCTTTCATTTTATTCTACTTTGCTGATTTCACTACACTTAGTGTTGAGGTAGAAAAATTAATAAAAATAAAATATAAAATTTTACTGAAAAAGACATTTGATATTCATTTAGGAGGATTCAGAGGTTATATAAATGAAACATGAAAATTGTAAGCTACTATGAAATGCCCCATTTGTATGAGATGAGCCCATTTAAGAAACCTCCAGTGAATATTGTAAGCATCAGTGAAATTGGACCACACTTTTGCTCCTCTGCTATCCTTTATTGATTGTTTGTTAGACTTAATACTGTCTTTAAAATGTCTCTTGATACTCATCCAATGGGCTTTCATCTCTTCTCTCACATTTGTCTGAATTAATGAGAAGCTGTTATGGGGACCTTTATCTTCCAAGTGCAAAACCAGATATAAAATCTCAGTGCAATATCAGTGTCAGAGTTGTAAATTTCTCTTCCCCATTTTTGTGTTAGTCCACTGTCAAAAGGCCACCATAGTTTCTTATTGTAACATTTAGTTAAGGGACCAATGATATTCTATTATTATTCTTTATTGTCACACTCTCAAAGTATTTTGTTCCTCTTTTCATGGAGTGATTCTACAATTACCTAGAATGCTTAGTGAATAATGTTTTACAACTTTATTTTATTTGCAAGTTTCTATCCTTTTTGGTCTCATGTTTCATATCATGAGTTGGAGCTGTTCCCTTCTTTCTGAAAAACCTATCTACCATATTTTTTCCTGCGATTTTACTACACTTTGGATTCTACTTGTTAATTCTTGTTGTTTGTTTATTTTTTACCTTTTCTTCAGCTTTCTTCTGCTGTTCGTTCTTTGCAGTCAGGCAGCTTTTATTTCTTTGCTTACTTTTCTAAGATAGTCTCAGACAATTATCTTTCATTTCCAAATTTAATGCATTCTGCATTACCTTTGGCTGTTTTTAAGTCTTTTTTTTTTTTTTCAGAGGAGAAAGCTACTGGTTCATCTTTCCTCTTTTCATCATTACCAATATTGGTGGATGGTTTGTTGATGTTGGCATATGTATGCTCTTCATTTGACTAAAGTTTTATCTTTGTTCTTCAATAAAAATATACATTTTTTTTTCTTCTTCGTTGGGCTATAAACTATTTATCCAGTTTTTTTTTGTTTTTTTTCTCCTTTTTCGGTGATCATTACATTTCTGTTCTTTCCTTGATTAGGACCTAGTCTTTTAGCATATTTCCACCATTTTACATCTGTTCAAGGTCTGTTTAAAATAATTATTCATTACTTCTTTCTTTGTTCGGGTATACCAAGAAAATTGGGTGACAAGGTGTAAATTTACAACATTTGATGTGATTCTCAGTCATAATTTTAAAGTC